ACGAGGAGGTACAGTCCCAAAATATATCCATTTTATGACTGGGTGTCGCCACATAAAGAAAGTTCGCCCAGACCCCACTTTCTAGTACTTTTAGTTTGTACTAAAGAGAATTTGTTAAGTTTGCTGAAAGATACTAAAAATCATGGAGAAGCTATCTAGGAGTTGAGGAGCAACAGAGAATCTTTAATACCACTTCTATTTTCTTTAAAGGAGTCTATAAAAAAAAAAAATCAACTATAATTAATTACCGTAATAACGAAAGAAAATATTGTATAATGAAAAGTTCAATTTTGTAAATAAACATTTAATTGTATTTTTCATTTCCGACACTATAAATCATATATATTTTTGTTCAGCATCAACAGGCGAATCGAACTAGCAATGTTCGACATAAATCTATTTTTTTCGAAAATTGTATAAGGGGTTACATCGTTAAAATTGGGAAAAATTGGAAAAAAAAAAATCGAATTTTCTAAAAATTTAGTTTAAAGATTTATTAACATAATAAAAACTAGCATATCAATGCTTTCCGAATTGATATTAATGCATTTTTGACTTAGTAATTGTTTTTTAAACTTTGATTATGGAAAAAATTTTATATAAATATATGGGATAATATCGAAAATAATATCGAAATTTCAAACTGCAAGGGTAGTTAGTCTTCTTTCTTGTTATGATTAACAGCAAATATTTCCATTAATTTCTTTCGTATACCAAACCAAACCAAATTTAAATGTTCAAATTCCCCATAACGTATTGATTACATTCTGAAATCAATAATAATTGGTTGTATATTGATTTCAGCACCCATTGGTTTGGCTTCCTTCAAAAATATATATTTTAAGGGGGGGCCACTCAGGTGTGAAGTGAGCTGAGGCAGCCAAACATTAAACAAGGATGTTTTTTACTGCTTAAATACAACAACAATTATAATAATTATTTGTTTGCCATCTCTTGATTATTCAATTTGTTAATGCTCACGCTATTCTCTGCTGTTTTTCCCCCTTGAAGCCGTTTGGCCACGCCCATTTTAGTTCACATTTAGTTCAAAGGGAGATGGATATAGTCAGATATATTTATATAGAGTATATATACCTATATAGAGAGAGAGAGAGCTGTGGGGCTTTATTAGCACGCTGATAAATACACCTTTTATCCACACACCGATCTACCCAGTTCGTGCCCTCGCATATTCACATTTTCGCTTTGCGATTCGCAATTCGCATTTCGCTTTTTCTTGCCGTTTATTTACACTCTTTTTTTCGCAATCGCAATCGGCAGCTGTACTGGAAAAATCCAATTAACAGTTTTATTAGCTATGGTTGGCAAAATAATTCATAAATTCATTAAAAACAATACGAAAAGCGCAAAACCGTAATAGTACCAATAATAATCATATTTTTTACGATCTATTTCTGCTGTTATTGAGCTGTTTTTCGTTTTTATTTTCTTCTGCTGCTGCTGCTGCTGACATTTTGTCGCCCGAATGCATTTTGTTGTAAATTTTAAATTGAAAAATATAAAGTAAAACTATATATATAAAATGACTTTGCCACGAATGACGTGACATATCGCCCAGTTCCTCCCCCTTTTCGGCAGTTTCAAGTTCGCGCCCCAAACCAGAAACTAAAAGCAAAACAAATTTCGTTTGTCATTGCGGTTGAAAGCGCCACCAAAAGCCAATACAAAAAGAGAATATTTATTCATTTGGAGGGGAAAGAGTCACGGACATGTCATCCCCCAAAGGCCCCCACTAGATACTTAATCAAATATTTCCCCTGCTATATGGTTATGCAAGAGGAAGGGACCGGAGGAGAATAAAGAAGAGCCGCGGAAGAATTTAATAAAAATCGTTGCCTGTCAGCGTACAAGAAGCCAAACAAATTATAACAGGTGCCGCTGCTCGTCCGACCCAAATGGTACAATGGCCAGGGACAGGGGCGTCGGGGAGGATGATGAAAAAGGGGGCTGCAGAAGGGTGCCCAGTAAGTGGCCCAATCTGGCTTGCTCCTCAATCAACCAAGTGTGAAACAGTTAACCCCTTTACAAAAACAGGTAAATGATTTCGTAATGCCAATGAAATATTAATTGGGAAGTATATTTCCTTGAGTTCTTTAATAATTTATTCTGGATTATATATGATAGTTAAGATCCAGATAAGTATTATAATTAATTTTGAATTTAATAAATTAATCATAATCAAGTGTTATTTTTATTGAATTATTTGCATAACTATAACGACACCTTTGGTGGTTCATTATAAGGCTTTTTAATGCGGAATGAACACAGATGAATGGATGAACACAGGATTACAGAAATACTAGTCTAAAAATACTGGTACTTCATAATTCACCACAACTTCTTCAATCTTTTATTAATTATTTTTCAAGTAATTTAAATTTGAAATAACAATCCCTCAATTGTACTTTTCTACATGTTTCCAGAAATACAAAACCTCCATTAAAACAAAATATACTCGAAGCTAATTAAATTTATAACATTTCCCGAAACCCTGTTTCCACATTAAAATGGCCATAAATAAAAATTGAAAATGCTGTTAAAATCAAAGCAAAGTGTGAATCCAAGGCAGACATTCAACGCCAACCAGTCAAAGCCATTACCAACCGCTGAGATTCTGTATTTTTTGGGGGATTCCCCGCACCCATGGCCCGTGATTTAATGTGGGAACTCTGCCCGAAGCACGTGCAGAGTGTAGAGTGGTCAGAATCATAAGCCAGTTAACAACAGCACCAACTCTCAATTGTCCAAAGTCATGTTCGCGGGCTTGATTTAATTTAAAAACGATTCAAAAATTACAGACAAGCAATTCAGCAATAATTTTAAACTCTGCGTTTAACCCAAGTAATTAAAGCGATGCTCGGATGACGATGCTGGGCATCCAGGGGCCTCGGACATGGGCAGCCGTTGGGCACGACTTGGTCTCTCTCTCGGACTTGGTTTCATTCGAGAATTTATGACTTTTTGACAGCCCACATTATTGTTTAATCGTGACTTTCGAGTCGAAAATCGGAGCGAGTGGCAATCGCAGGATTTGATTTGAATAGAAATTCAAAAATACTGAAATACGGATTGTTTCAGATCGGATGTGCGAATGACACCAGCATTATAAGATCGATAAGATGTGTGTGGGTATGGGTGAGCGGACTTTGGGTTAATTAAATAACACCCACATGTGGATATTCAATTGTGAGCGAACCCATCTCCTCCCGAAAACCCTTCAATTAACACCACCGCCACCACCAAGAAGGGAAGAAGATCGGAGGAGGCTGAATCCAAACAGCACTTTTGGTGACTGAGATCGAAGGGATCCCGAGATTGTGTTTGCACAGCCCAGAGGAGCCGATGGAACTGATGGATATGATGGCACCGATGGAGCTGAGCTGGCTATTAAAAATTATGTAAATAGCCGGACCCGGGAATGAGTGTATAAAGTCTGGCTCATTGTTGATCAAGCCGGCAATGTCTATTAACAATAATAAAAATGAAAGAAAAACAAAGAGGCAGAAAAAACTAACAAGAGTTTTATTGAATTGAAGACGATGCTGAAGCTGAGACTGAGTCTTGCATACCTGAAAGCGAATGGCCGAAAGGCCTGAAAGGCAATAAAACCCATTTAATATTCATTTAAGGTACTAACAAATAATGCAAATATTTGAACAATTTATTTACATATGAACGCCATCAAAGAGCTTGAATTGAAAGAGATCTTTCAATCGATGGAAATTGTGAACGAGATCCCACCGCTACTTGGGTTCCCGAGATGAAGATGGAGATGGAGATGGATATAGAGATAGAGCTTCCCCCCGAAAACAGATGAATCTATTTGTATTTATGAGTATGTTATGCACTTAGCCCCCCGATCAATGTGTGAGTATATCTGAGTATCTCGAATCGCGGCTGTATAATAACCGTCTTGTATGCGACCATTTAGCATGTCACCTTTTTAACGGCTCTCCGGGCAAACAGACCCGCCAAAAAATCAGAGACTCGTTCTCTCTTTCGCCGGTTCCCAATTTCAATTGAATCAACATAGTATATACGTATGTATTTTCTTAACATTATAATTACCTTTTGAATCATCTGCAAACAATGTGAGTCGAATTGCATGAATTGCCTTTCGGCAAAAAATAAAAAAAGAGTAGAAAAGCTCAAGTATAAGTTGCTAACCAAACAAGAGATCGTGGTGAAATCAGTAAAAAATATATATCTATATGGAATTGGGGAATTATTTTCTCACTTGCCGCCGGCAAATCTATATTTTCTTTTGGATATTTGCTAGAAACCTCGCACCTGTCATGAGATATATTATACCCCCACATTCTCCCCGCCAGTTGTCACTCTTTTCCTATCCGTTTCGAAGATTAAATAATATTTTCGCGTGGCAAATGGAAATTGATGCATTAGTTACTCAAATTACCGCTGCGGTCGAGTAAAAAACAAATCAAATTCTATATATAATGGGTAGATGAAAGGTCGAATACATACATTAATTTGAATACTTGACAAATTACATTTGGTGAAATGTATACCTTGGAAAATACTTTTAAATTGCATTAGAATAAATATATATATTTGGATAGATAATGTGATCCTTTCAAGTTGATCGATTTCAGCAAAGACAGCACAGAAATATATATCTATTAACAAAGTTAGTCATTGAATTGGTATTTTGTTTATCAGATAGCAATTGTAGGTAATGAGAAATTCATTTTACGACTTTATTTGTAGATCAAACGGCATTTGATCTGAACAATAAAAGCGTTTTAGTTTATGTTAAATACCTCTTAGCTTGATTAATGGCTTTCTGATCTTGATTTATATATTGATCCAAGAAAGAGTTATCTATTGATATATCTTATTTAAGCTGGCTATAATTTAATTTAAATATTTTAATAGTTTTAGTTTCCCGTTTTATATGTTTCTATGCTATTCCCTCTGTAAAATAATTATAAAATAATAATAATAATGATTGTTCTTACCAAATCGTCTCCCAAATCGGAATCGCGTTCAATATTGCTGGTTGAACGACAGTCCATAGTAGGGTGCACACGCAGTTGCATTGATGCGGAGTTTTTCGCTCTTCACCCCGAAATATGTATCACGAATGCAACGGATAATCCGATTAATCCGAACAGCGATAATATTAATTTCTTTTTAGTTATTTTGTTGTTTTTGCACAGCACACTTTTTGTTTTCTTTGTGTTTCTAGCTTCTTTTCGGCATTCCTTTTGTCGCCTGCATTGGTTTACCGTTACTCCTGCACTTGAGAGCTGGGGCGAAAACGGGAGAACACCAAGGAACCGTTGCTCAGTCGCAATGCTTGTTGTTTGTTTAGTTGCAAAATATTATTTGCAGTTGATTCGAGTGTATTTTATTACTTAAGACTTTAGCAAAGGGTTTTTGTATATACACATTCACACACACCGAACACGATTCAGATTGCACTTGATACTGTTGTTGTTGTTAATTAAACATGTTAAAATCCGTTAGCCAAACTGCACCACCGAAGGCGTCATTCCGTCGAAAACAAGACGAATCGAAGCGAAATCAACGACGACGGTTCGCCCGATCTCTGGCCTTAGTTCCAATTGATATTATAGCGATTGCACAGATTATATCCGATTAAGATAATGGGCGAACTGTTTGGTAAAAACTATATGCTATAATCAGCCGATCGCTGCCGCTACCAATTTTCAACTGCAGCGCTGCCTTCAACGAAATTCCAAGTCTCAATCTCTTTGCGACGATGGAATTCCAATTGGGAATGATGGAATGGAATTATACTGATGTCGGTCTCGCTTACTCTCATTCTCTTTTCCTCGCCCGCTTACGCTCGCGGAACAATGGGATGATGTACTATGGAACAGAGGAAATTGTATAAAAAAATCTAAATAAATACATATAAATATTAGCGTAAGGCTCATCCAACTTTATTAAAAAAGATTAAATTAGTTAAAAGGCTAGAGTTTGCAATAATGTTTTCAACTTAATTAATGCTAAACAACAACTTGTATTATGTTGTTTTATTTTCTTCCTGTTTTGCAATACGAAAAAAATCGTTTGTTTTAAAAAACTTTAAATAACAAGGGTTAAAATACTATGCAAACAGTGGTTTTCTCATGCTCGTTTGGTTTAGAATTTTCAAAGTTTGAACGATATAACGAACCTGGTGACCACTGTACGTGGCACATGTATGTTCCGTATCTTGTCGTTCCGCCAAACTCGTTCGCTCTTTCTCGCCATCCCACTCTCTCTCTCTCTCTCTCTGATAGACGATAAGTTGAATCAACCAATCAGATGGCTGTTCCACCAATTCCCAATTGAAATAGTGGTTGCAGGGAGGGTTAGAGGGAGGCGGTCAATTAAATAAAATTTGTAATCGCAATCCAAATCCATGAAATGCCCGATTTGTGTGTATAAGTGTGTGAGTGGTCGAACGCTCATTCGCTCGTTCCGATACACACACACAGGCAAACTGTTGTGCAAAGGTGTGCCTGTGTATCTGTCAGATACAAATATACACTATTCCACAGTTCCGTTGAATTTAAGTTTAAATTAAGATTTATTTTATTAATACAATCGTACAATTAGAATATTAAAAAATTGGTAATCAAGCATATTTTTATTTCAGTCAAACGCTTAAAACAAAGTGAAGGAATCATTTCCTACCCTATAAATCATATATATTCTGGATCAGCACTAAAAAGCGAGTCGATCTAGGCATGTCCGGTATAAAAATAATTTTTTGAAAATTTTCAAAACTTTATAATCGTTAAAATTATCAATATTTGACAAAATTTATTGAATTTTGTAAATTCTAAAACTAAGTATACACATTTGTTAAGCCTACAAAAACTAGCACAGAAAAGCTATCCGAATTGAAATTAATGCATTTTTGGCTTAGTTATGATATTTGAAAAACTTTTATTTACCTATAAAATTAGCATAAAAAATATAATTAAATATTGTAGTTTTTTAATGAGTAACATTTTTAAAATTGTCAATAATTCATTAATTTTTTATATTAAAGACCAATATGCTAGGATCCTAATAAAGACAACATTGAAAAAGCTTCCCAAATTGAGATTAATGCATTATTGTCTTGGTTATGATGCATTTTAAATTTGAACAAATTCGTGCATGAAAACTTGTATATAAATTAATTTACTTACCATCCAATTCCTTGCTGCATAGTGTTAAGTTTGCTCCACTAGTATTGGCTCAGTCCGCGTATCGTTCAATCATGTTTTATATGCGGTTCGATTGAAGAGCGACGCCCTTTTCATTTGCCGAATCGCCGTCTGCTTGTTGATTTTCCCAATCGAATGGGAGGGGCCAAGTCACTCACTTTTGCGGTTTGCCAAATTCACGCCGATAAATATATGTACACAATAGCTGGCGGAAAACAATTGCCAAACTGGCTGGTGTGTGTGTGTGTATTTTTTTGAGGGTGGGGGAGTGGGGTATTGGGTAGTGGGAGGCAAAAACAAACGGTAGGTTGATTAATGATTTGCGAGATAAATTGCACTTGTAATGGCCAAGGCGGTAAATAGATGGATGGATAGATTGCTGCTGCTCCTGCCGCTCATCCCACGAAACATCCTCCCACCCATTCAGATAGTAAATAATTTCCGTTTCTCGATTTTCACTAATTTGAAATTGATGAAAGGCAGCGACGCCAACAGAGGCAGTGCGGCAGAGAAAAGTCGATCCATGCACTAAGAGAAAGTTGGCTAAAATGGGTCATTTAAATGTGATTAATTCATACTGCAAACCATAGGACATATTAACAATATAATATAAAAAATATTGTTACATTTGAATTATCAAATTTTAGAATATCGAACGAAATAACTATATTTCAATAAACACATAACATATTGATCAATAGTACTTATTGGTACAATATCTATAATTATTATAAGTATTTTAAGAATGTCATTTAATTTATTTTCATTTTTCCGATTGTATTGGTAAAACAGAAAATTTATAGATAGTAAATATATAGCAAAATAATAGAGATTTCAATATAGACTTAAAGCATATAGAAATCCTTGATTTGTCTTCAATTTCCACCGGAATTTACAGAGCTTCTAATTAGCACCTTATTAAGGTTAAGCGTAAATTGTATCTAATTTAGAATAGACTAGATAATTTTTGTCTCAGTGCATCAACGGCAGCAGAGTATATCAATTTTCGCCGACTTGTCTGTGAAACAAACAAGCGGCGAACGCTCTGGCATGTATATGTATCTATCTATCTGTATCTGTATATGTATTTTTGTATCTGTATCTGGGCAGCCGTAGGGGAGGCCACCCTACCAAAGAGCACCACCCTGGGCAGGAGGAACGCCAATGACGAGGCGTCGTCCGACCCACCGACTTGACTGATGATGAAGTGAGAAAGTAATTAAATACAATTTTAAATGTGACTAATGAGACGCCGTCAAATTCATGAGCAGGAGAAGGGGTGCTTGGATCTAAGGGAAGTTGGACTACAAACGTCAAATGTATTTATTACAAAGATAATTCAGTTAAAGGAGGTATATCTTATATTAGCAAGTTGTAGAGGTTATAAATTCCTTTAAAAATATACCAATATATCGCTCTTGAAAAGCTAAAATCGCTCCAAGTTTATGTTCCCTTACAACCTTGTTTAATATTCCCAACTTGTGTTTATAATAACTTTCCATTTTTGTCATAATCCCTGTATATATTGTATATAGCCCTATTTGATTTTCAAACAACGTACTTACCTAAGTGAAATTTGTGTTTAATTCATGGATACACATATTGGCAAATATTGGACAGGGGAGACATCGTTTATTTGTCAACACGTCCATTTCCTGCATTTTGTGTTTTAGCCGAAATAAATGAAGAGGAAGAGGGGCTAGAAATGGGGAGGGAAACACACAAAAAAAATGAAATATGTACTCGCAACAATTTCAAAATAAATAAATGAGATAGAGAAACCTCCCTCCACACACAGGGAACACACAAAAGCCGAGAGATAGATATGGATATTAGTTGAAGTTGTTATTGTCCGACACATCCGTCGGCGCTCGAAGCTTTTAGGCCTCATTAGTTGATGAGTATTAAGTGATTTGGGAATTACACATTTGACATAATATTTTCTCCATTCGAATAGTTTTGTTTCCTTTTCTTTTGAATTTATACCCTTGCAGGGCATTACAATTTCAGTGAGAAGTTTGCAAAGCAGTGAAGGAGTCATCTCCGACCATGTAAAATTAATTTATTAACTATGATCAGTATATATCTATGATCAGTAAGTAACTACAATCAGTAAGTATCAATGAACATTGAATAACTATGATCAGTAAGTAACTATAATCAGTAAATAACTTTGATCAGTAATTAACTATGAGCAGTAAGTAACTCTGAACAGTAAGTATCTATGAACTAAAGTAACTCTGACCAGTAAGTATCTATGATCAGTAAGTATCTATGACCTGTGAGTATCTATGAGCAGTAATTAACTTTGAACACTGATAAACAATGACTTGCAACTTTTGTAACACAACACATATCCGAGACGTGGCCGGCAGAAGCCACTTCGTTCCGGGGATGTTTGAACCAGTTGGGAATCATATGCACAGAGAGAGATTTGTTTTGGAAAAAGTTTAAGAGCAAGCTATTTGAATGAAACTATGGAGTTATTCTTCTATATAATTTTACTAGTCTATAAGTCGGAGCATGGCGAATCGATGGACTATATGTATACTTTTATATAGCTGACATAGGAACAATAGGACGATTTATAGAACTATGATCAGTGATTAACAATGAGCAGTAATTAACTATGATCAGTAAGTTTCAATGGACATTGAGTAACTGAACTGAACAGTAAGTATCTATGACCAGTAAGTAACTATAATCAATAAGTATCTATGACCAGTAAGTATCTATGAACATTAAGTAATAAAAAACGTTCCCCTTTAAATATTCCCACATAAACAGCCTCTTAAATCTCAAGATCATCAGTATCCCCAAGGAGTTAAATGATTTGTTACTTACTCTCTCTCTCTGCAGGCTTGGTGGAGTACAAGAAACAAGGCTATGGAGTTGGCATCCGTTTTTCCGGGATTTTGTTTAGTAGTTATTGTGATAGGAACTTTGATTTAACACAGATTTTATAATAGCCAGAGGTTGGATTTAAACTCTAACTTAATAAGAAACTTTTAAAAGTAACAAGAAGAAGAACAAAAAATATTTGTGTTTGCTACGGTGCTTAAGTACACTGGTTGAGAAGCGCAGAGGAGGGCACTTTTTTTGAGACGGAGTGAATGCGAGGAAAGTATTACTTTTGAGAGAGAGTAAAAGAGAGGCAAACACAATTTGGTTTTTTGAGAAGCGTAGGGAAGGTCTCATTGTTTATTTTGGAAGAATGAGAATTTGAGTTAGTAAACAAATGTGATAAGTCCGTAAAATTGATCAAAAATATAACAATTTTAAACTCAAATTTAATTAGAAACTTTAAAACGGAAGAAGAAGAACAAAAATAATTGTGTTTGCTGCGGTGCTTAAGTACACTGGTTGAGAAGCGCAGAGGAGGGCACTTTTTCAGAGAGAGTGAATGCGAGGAAAGTATTATTTCTGAGAGGGAGTAAATGAGAAGCAAACACAATTTGGTTTTTTGAGAAGCGTAGGGAAGGTCTCATTGTTTAAAACGC